GCATGCTTGTAGCGACAGTGGAGAGGAAAAACTCCCCTTTAACAGGAAGAAACCTCCAGCAGAACCAGGCTCAGTGTGAGCGGCCATCTGCCGAGGCCGACTGGGGTTCAAGGAGACAGAAGCAGAGATACAAAAAGCAGCTGTAAAAGGCAGAAAACACACAGCCAGGCAGACGAGCTCCATGTCAGAGGATGAAGAGAGCACATCCAACCAGTCACAGTCAGAGAAACAGGACTACACTGAAAAATAGGCTGATATCTAACATTTATAAACAAGAACTTACACATTTGTCAGGGTCAGAGAATAGAGATAGAATGAAGCAGATTGATAAAATAGGGGTCCAAATGTCCTCCAGCAGCCTAAGCCTATAGCAGCATAACTATAGAGATAGCTCAGGATAACCTAACTATAAGCTTTATCAAAAAGGAAAGTTTTAAGCCTACCCTTAAAAGTACACAGGGTGTTTGCCTCACCAACTTAAACTGGTAGTTGGTTCCACAGGAGAGGAGCCTAATAACTAAAAGATCTGCCTCCCATTCTACTTTTAGAAATTCTAGTAAACCTGCAGATTAAGAGCGAAGTGCTCTGTTAGAAACTTAAGGAACATTCAGATCTCTGATATAAGATGGAGCTTTTAAGGCTTTATATGTGAGAAGGAGTATTTTAAATTCTATTCTTTATCTCGTTATCTTTGCTCAATCCAACCTCCTTGCTGCAGTACTGGTTATCAGCCAGCAGATGGAGTCAGAGTCCTCTAGATAACAAAGGAAAACCAGATTGATTAAAATCATTGTACTGATTCTTAGCACTTTGATTAATTGGGTCTGTGGGGTCCCATCAGTTCTGGGTTCTGTTTATTTGAACAGCGTTGGGTCACAACAGTACAGAATTAAGGGATTAATAAAGTAATTCTGATTCTGATACAGGATTACTAAGTGGGAACAAACAGCTCAGTTCTGTGCAGCTGCAATACAGTCCTAACAGAACCTGGTCTGCTTATACAGAGAAACTATAAGGTTGTTTCCTGAGTCTAACCCAAGGAAATGAAACCGCCCGCAGAATCAGAACCAGAACCACGCAGGCTCAGTATGAAGGAGCATCTGCTATGAGCAACTCAAAGTTGAAGGTAAAAAACAAAAAAACACAGAAGTACTGGTGAACAGATTTTGTGAGAAAGTACAAGGTTGTGAATCTGATTCCAGTTTTATAGACAAATATAGCCCTAGTTTAAAGTACCTTATAGTACTAAAGTGCTTTGAGGGGATTGTATGGTATTTCATCTGATTGGAAATAAAGCATAAATTAAGAATTAAGACGTGAATGACTGTTGGACACACAGGATAACCTGAGTCACTCGAACTATAAGCTTTATGAAATGGGAACGTTTTAAGTCTTTTAAGACTTTTAGTCTTAAAAGTGGACATGGTTTCTGCAGGCTCCTCTCCTGTGGAACCAACTCCCAGCTTTATAGCCTGTGATGCAGACACACTGTACTTTTAAGGCTAAGCTTCAAACTTTCCTTTTTAAGATTGTCAGTCACCAATTTTATGAATGAAAATAATTTCTTTATCTTTGTATTCCATGCCTTCAATTCAGTCTTTATTGTATTTAATGTAACATTTTAGGCCATTATGAGATCATTTGAGAGATTTAAAATGTTTTAATCTGATGTTTAATTTACTTGAGTTGCCTATCACCAATTTTGTGGTACTGATCCACATTTAGGCTAATATGTGACATATGTTATATGTAGCCTAGGCGGAAGTTGAACGGATAAACTGATTACCCGACTTCATCCGTCTACGACACAGCCAATCAGCTTTGAACCACACCTCCACAAAAACCAATCAGCATCCAAAGTTCATCTTAAAAGGCCTCAGATCTGCAACTCGTCTGCTGCCTGGTGCACAGACGGTGGTTGCGCCGTGTGACTTCATTCAGATGACCCCGTTTCAACCCACCTCCAGCGTCTCCTCCACCATCGCAGCTAAAGCTTCATCAGAGTGGCATTCCTCCTGGACTTTTACTCATTTCAACCTGTCCGGCAGAAGACCGCCATGTTGAGCCTGGTTCTGCCAGAGGTTTCTTCCCAACGGGGAGCTTTTCCTCTCCACTGTCGCTTCATGCTTGCTCATCATGGACAGGTTCTCTCAACCTGTGTTATCCAAACAGGACTTCCATCTTCCAGGTCCCTGAGTGAAGCTCTAGTATCAGCTCACTCAGTCCACTGGATCTCCCCATAAGCTCAGCAGACCATCTCACTAACCAGCAGTCTGCAGACTAAACAACTTCATCAATCTCTAATCCACCACCAGTTTCAGGCCTGAGGGGAAACAGCCTCGTTCTTTACTTTAGTTCATGCATATCTATCAAAATTCAGCGCTATGTTTCCTGCCGAGGTCTGACCACCAAATACCAAGTAATTGTATCAATAAATTTCATCTAATTGTCTTTTCTCTCCATGTGAATTTTTTCAATTGAAATTTATATATTACAGGGAAAAGTCCTCATTAAAGCAAAGTAACTCAAATTAACCTCATTTTGGTAGGAATCATTTATAGAAGTCATAAAAACACAGTTCCTCACAGCTGTTCTTAATCAGATTTATTAGTAGCAGGCTAGGACTGGGAACGATTTTAAAGCCATAAATCTAAAGAAAAACATTTTTTACCCATAGATGGCCATCCTAAACTACCAGATTGGGAAACATCCCAACCTGCCAACAATGCACGTAAGACAGGAAACGTTAGCCTTTAGATGCAAAACCCCATCATGCACCGCAACATATTTCTGCAAAATATTCTAACATGAATTCGGCAAATATAAGAGGAATATCGTAGTTTGGTTTAAATAAAGCATTTTAGTGTTATTATAATTTAGTTTGTTGCAAGGATTTTACAGTTTGAAGAAATAGAAAATTACACCATATGCCAACCATCACAAGGATGTGCACGACAAGGGAGGGCTATATATACTGCATGCATCATTTAGGTAGTTAACGTTGTAATACTTCTTGAGCTCCTTGAGTTATTTACTGTCACAGGTAGGCACTTCGGCTGGAGAGTAAGTGTTGGGGCTGGTATGATTAAAGGAGGGCGGGCCCTCGCACACTGAAATCACGACCGGCCCACCAAGCAAATGCCCGATATCACAGATTACCAGTCTGAGCCTGCTTGGTAGTAATGACAAATATTTATTTTCTCTTTATTAAATACATAATAAGAAGGAACTACTGATGAGTCATGTTGATGCTCTGAGAGCCCGAGGAATCATTAATAAATCAGAAGAGCCAGTTTCCTTTTCACTGCACAGTTCTTACTCACTGGCTCCACTTTGCTTGCAGCACAGCTTTGTTTCAACTGACAGCAGCTGAGTTTGCTTCTGTTTGGTTGTTTGCACTGGAAAAATGATCTAGAAATAAGTAAAAATGTCTTTGTAATTGTATTTACCCTTAATTTGAGTAGGTAAATGAGGTAGTTTACCAATGGAATGAGTACTGTTACTCTTAAAATATTATAATTCGATAAAATACACTTTAAAAAAGACAATTCGATTGTGTTTTCTTATGTTGATCTAAATAATCTTGTTTCATTGGCAAAATGTCCCTTTTATCTCCTCAATTCAAGAACAAGTGCACTTATTTTAAGAAAAAATGACTTATCTAGATTTAGATTTTTTTCCAGTGTGTCTGCACAGATTAGTTCATTTGTTTTATTATCATTTGTTAAAATCCATTACTTTCATATTTGCCAACTAAGAGGTCACAGATGATAATAAACAGAAAAATGTTTGGGAGCCAAACCAAAATAGCTGATTCTGTAATAAGAACCAAACTCAATAGAAAACCCTCTGATGAAAATGCATCAGATAAAAATGAAGACTGTGATGCATATTGGGAATTTTACCAAACAGAAAAAAGCATCAGCAAAGTGAATTTGATGCATGAACTCGGATCATTTTCTATGATTTAACTTAAACGTGGAATTAAGAAACATTCAGAGCGAGTAAAAAAAAAAAAAAAAATCATTCTTGATTTTAACCCCAAGCCTGATGTTATTCTCCGGAGGAATCCGTTTACACAGGATGAGGTCACATATGCACAAAATCGTTAACATTTTCATTCAACAATAAAAATCTATGGGATTTTAATTAATAAAATACAGCTAAAAATATCATATTTTACTGCAATGATAGAAAAAAGGAACATACAAGCAAAAAAAAAACACAATAAAGAAAAAAATTGTGAAAATCAGGTCTTTTGATTGATGTCTTTAATCACAGTTTATAATAAACAAAAGCTGTTATCCGTTCCACACTAAACATGAACCATTCATCCATCCCGAGTTGGTTTCTCATGTAATGATTTTTCTTAATAGGAACTATATTCGGTAGATGATCGTTTCTTTGGGGTAAATCATGGTGTATGTAAATAAATACAAGAAAAAAAAAAGCTTAATTATCTCCTCCCATTAAATGATTACTTTTATGTTAAATTAGAATTAAACCAGAACTGTGAATTTTGTTAATATAAAGAGAAAAGAAAAGGAAATGCCATAATTCAGTGAATAGAAAGCTAATTCATGAGCACAAAAACAGCTTCCTACCAGCTAATCTCACTAAGTGGTTCCCAGTTCCACCACTGACGCCCCCCCCCCTAGAAAAAAATAAAAATCTTAATAAGTCATTTTTTCCTAAAATAATTGCATTTTTTTCTTGAATTGAGGAGGTAAGTGAGACACGTTGCCAATGGAGCTAGACAATTTACATTTACAATAAGAAATAAATATTGCATAGTCTGATTTCAAGAGCACGTTATCTAATTATCTTATATTAAGCTTAAAAATACTCATTGCATTGGCAAATCATCTTATTTACCTACTCAAATTAAGGGTAAATCTGCTTTAAGTATTTTTTCTACTTATTTCGAGATAATTTTTGTAGTGAAATTATCTTAAAGTTTTAACTGGCTCTAAATTGGAGCAGGTAGATAATCTGCCTAATGGAGAATTTCTTCCCTTTAAATATGAAAGTTTGATATTATGCTGTGGAAATCAAATTAAAAAAGACTTTTCGATATGAGTGAGAGGTTTATTACAGTTGTAAAGTGGCTTTAATTTTTTTATTTAAACATTTCTGATGATATTTCCTTTTGAAAGTTCTCAAAATGTTATTTACTCCTATCATAAAACCAGATATCTGGTCAGATTTATTCCCGTTTTGCTAAGGAGGAGTCCTGACACTGATGACAGGTATGGGCTGAAGGCTGAGTCATTCTTTGTGACAAACTCTCCTGACTTGTACGGAGAAGAGCTTCATGATGGCCGCCCGTAGATCCTTACTGACCATTCCATAGATGATGGGGTTGAGAGCCGGTGGAACTATGATGAAGAGGATACTAAAGAATTTCCTGATGTTTTGGACGCTGCTGTCGCTTCTGCCTTGGTTGAACGACACACTCAGGATTCTGATGTAGGAAAAGGCAATGATGATGAATACCCCCGTACTCACTGACCAGGTCATGGACAGACCTGTGAGAAACAGACAGGGTCACTTTAATATGGCGCCTCAGACATGGCCCAACGCTTGGTTGTTGGCAGCAGCCCCCACCGTAGATGTTGCTGATGGGGGTGGGAATACAGGCCAGGTTCAGGATGCTGCGGTTGCTGCAGTAGACATGTTGGATGACCCGGCCGCACAGAGGGACGTTCATGTGGAAGGAGAAGAGCACGGCGATGAGCAGCAGGGCGACGATCCAGGCCAGAGCGCAGCAGCAGTGCAGCCGGGCTGAAGTCATGATGGAGTGGTACCGGAGAGGTTCACACACCGCCACAAACCTGCAGAGAGACGGCGCCGGCAGAAAGACAGCTTTAATAAAAGAAGATAGTTCTGTCATCTAGTTCCACACAGGCCTTATAAAGTCTCCACCAGTCTGACTTTCACACATTTTGACGTTTAAATCTGGATTTTGTTTTTTCTGTTAATATAAACAGAAAAGAAAAGGAAATGCCATATCCACCTTCTAACACGCTTAACCCCAATTGGGGTCGTAAGGAGTGCTGGTGCCTATCTCCAGCTGTCAATGGGCGAGAGGCAGGTTACACCCTGGACAGGTCGCCAGTCCATCACAGGGCAACACAGAGACAAACAACCATTCATGCACACTTAAGGAGAATTTAGAGAAGCCAATTAACCTAACAGTCATGTATTTGGACTGTGAGAGGAAGCCAGAGTACCCGGAGAGAACCCACGCATGCTCAGGGAGAACATGCAAACTCCATGCAGAAAGGGAATCGAACCCAGAACCTTCTTGCTGCAAGGCAGCAGTGCTACCCACTGCTTCACTGAACAGCTCTAAGGAAATGCAATAATTAAATGAATATACAGCTAATTCATGACCACAAAAACAGTTTCCTATCACCTAATCTCACCAACTTGTTCCCAGTTCTCCAATGATGCCCCCCCGGGAAATAATGCAAAGAACTCCACAGTGCAAAAACGATCAAGAAATTAGTAAAAAAAATATTATTTCCCCTTAATTTAAGTAGGTAAATAAGATGATCCGCCATTGGAATTAGTATTTTTAAACTTAAAATAAAATGAGATAATATGCACTTGAAATAAGACAATGCAATTCTGTTTTCTTATTTTAAATGTGAATTGTCTTGTTCCATTGGCAAAATGTCTTTTACCTCCTAAATTCAAGAAGAAATCAACTTATTTTAAGAAAAAATGACTTATCTAGATTTCCACTTTTTCCAGTGCACACGCACTGATCTAAAAATAAATAGGATTTATCTTAAAATCAGAGTAATGGTTCTAAATTTGAGCAGGTAGATAATCTGCCTATAGGAGAATTTCTTCCCCTCAAATATGAAAGTTAGATATTATGCTCTGGAAATGGAATAATACAGTTTCTGTTTTTTTTTTTTTTTTTTTTAAATGTAAATGATCTGATTTGTAAATTTTATACCTGATTAAAATAAGAGAAACTAACACTTTTTTCAAGGAAAGGTTACTTCCTTCTATTATATGGTTTGTAGTGTGTAAATACTGGTTCATTTTCTTTTATATTCTTGTTTGTTATTTTCTGTTTCTCTGCACAAAGCTGGGATTTTTCACTGTGAAACATTTTATGAAATGTTTAATTTTTTTTATCAGCGCTCATGTTTTCCATGGCCTCATGTTTCTTGTGTTTGTACAACTTTTTCATCAGAGCTAATTCCTCATCTGTGTAAAAAAATACTTTGCAATAAAGCTTTTTCTGATTCAGTTTAATAGAAAATATTTAATCCACTCAAATATAAATTTAATTGCATAAATTCCCACGAGGCTGATACTGCAAAAACACCAAAGCAGCAGCAGCAGCATTAGCAGCACAGCACCTGATGATCATTCAGTAACTGATGATCTCATCACCTGTCATAGGCCATCACCCCCAGAATGGTCTGCATAGCAACACCGTATGTGTGCACACAGAAGCCCTGAGCGATGGCTGGGAGGTAGGAGATCTTCTGCTGCCCCATCAGGAAGTGCATCATGAGGCGAGGAAGGACCGCCGTGGCCCCCAGCAGATCACAGACAACCAGGTGGCAGATCATCACAAACATGGGTCTGTGCAGGTTCCTGTCTTTCATGATCACACAGATCACCACACCGTTCCCCAGCAGCACCACTATGTAGGCGAACAGGGCCAAGAAGAAGAGGAACGGGCCCTGTCCTGGTGGAACATCAAAACCCTGGAGTTCAAACACAACGGGCTGTTTGAGAGGAGCGCCCATTGTTAGGTTCTCCATCCAAAGCAGAGCAGAGCTCTAGAACACAAACAGACATGTCATAATGAAGCTACATAAAGTGACATTTAAGGTAAAGATGACATCCCTTCATCTGAAAGTAATCGTAGAATTTAGCAGATAGAAATAATGTGTACCACCAACCGAACACACAGACAGCGGAGCTCTGAGCCTACAGTCCTCTGAGCATGGAGGACGTCCTCCTCTTCTCTCATCTCATGGCTTTTCTGTTGCCCTCATTTTGAGTCGATTATTTAATGATGTCACCTTGATTCAGCCCTACTGGGCTCCCATGGCGCTGAGCCGATTCAGGAAAAAGTCCCCCCCACCACCATCACTTTTAGATGTTTTCTTTTACAGCACAGATACATTTAGATTGAAATGTTTCCTCAGCAGAGGAAACAGAGATTTTCTTTTTGATAGAGGACACATTAAAGGACTGTGGAGCATGAGTAAAGACCACTCTGAGGCCTAATCCTTTACCACCTTTATCTGAGAAGCAAAAAGCGCTGCACATAAAGCAGAGAAAAAACCTAGAGGAGACAGGTTTCAATGTTCAACAATGTAACAACATTGTTTCCTAGTGTTCCTGTTGATCATGCTGTGTCAGTAAGGCTAACAGCCATTTGACCTTCCAGAGGGTCTAATGCTACGTTCAGACTGAAAGCACTCGAAGCAGCAAAAAAACTTCGGCTGCTTCATTTATGATGCTTGTTCATAATAAGGTCAGACATTCAGTAAAGTGTGTCCAGATGCGTCTGATGATTCTGCTGCTCCTGCGTTCAAAGGCAGAGAGCGACTTTGCTATATTTGCTGTGATCAGTGGGTAAAAAGTAGTTTTAATATGTTTTTAAGTGACAAAGTCCACCTGAAAACTTAATCTGTCACTCAGTTCATCAAGATTACAATCCTGCCTATTATTTTGCTGTCAGAGCCGCTCAGATCCCCGTACACTGGCGGTCCTATGTCCCTGGAAATCCCGTTCAACGTCCTTACAGGTGTTCAAGACACAACACCCTATGTCACTCGGTTGGTGCTGAAACACCTGTAGCTTCTGCCAGAGGAACTGAATGAATACAATTATCTATTCCTGTACAGTGGTAAGCAGAACAAGCCTTGCAGCCTCAGAGCTGCAAGGCCACATTGGGTCCAAATCTGGCTCCAAGCACCCAGGGTCTGCTTCTGCCAGGAAAAGCATCACAGCCTGGCTGAGGAAATCTTTGAAGTACTTCCTCCACCATCTGACAATATCCTTATTCAAGGTCAGCAGCTTCTGCTCACAGTAAAAGTACGCAAGCACCACCTTCTTCTTCAGAGGTGACCAATAGTCTTTTTAATGGCCTCTCCAAATGTCTCCCAGGTCCCCAAAATGATTGTTTTTCGACCGAATGGGTAGTGGCATGCTTGGCCTCAGGAGTCCCGCAACCTAACTAGACTCGAAAGGACTTGTTCTGCAGCTTAAGAACATCCCTTCCTGCTGGTGACCACCAACAGGTTCAGACGTGGCCTCCATGACAGGCACCGCTGACTTTATAGCTTGAGTTACAGGCAGCTGCATTGAGAATAGAGGCTGAGTAAATGGCACACTCAGACTCCCTGCCTCCTGCCTCACCTGGAATCTGAGAGAAGCAGTTTTAGAGGTGGGAAAATATGTAACTATGTAAAGTGACGTAGCCTACATTAATGTTACCGGGCAAATGACTGCTTTAATGTTAGAGACAGGGAGAGTTTTAGCTAGCAGAAAAGTGGTTAAAAGAACCACAGTGGAACTTGGTCAGCATCTCTGCAAGATCAGACAGATTGATCCCTGATGTTGTCAGTGCCAGTGGAGAAGATGCACAACAGTCTGAGCTGGAAGCCGCTAGAGGCTCTGCACAGCCCGAACCTGGGAGAAGCAACAGACTGGAGGCCAACCCCAGCTGGATGTCAAGGGCATCTGTTACAGGCAGGGGCAGATTTAGGAAATTAGAGGCCCCAGGCAAAGACAGGCAGGGGGCCCTCTGAATTGAGAAGACAACACATAAAACAGACCCATTATACAGATAGAGAAAGAGGGATCTGAAGGCAGATACACTGGATTACATGGCTGTGCTCAGAGGAGGTATGATTAAAAGTTCCTCTGAACACAGGGCTGCTGGAAGTCATATTGATCAGGGGGTGCTGTGAATTTTTTATGCTGTTTTTTTTGGACAAAAGACCAATGAGCCTATAGGCCTATTTAAAATACAGTAGATACAAATAAATTAACTACTTTATTGTTATATACACATCATAGCACGTAACCAGGGTCTGTAACACACAGACATCATTGATCAAATAAATCAATTCTCACATGAATATGTGCACTATTGATTAAACTTCACAATGAAACAGACTTTATGCCAATTTGAAAAGCCGGAGTTCAAGAAGGGGTTGTCTTTCTTAAATTTTTCTTAGGAATGATTTTTTGTTTGACTGGTTTCAGACAAATGTAGCACAAAATATGATCCGTTTCTGTCACATGATGCAGCCACTGCCCTCTAGCAATGCAAGCCGGTGCCACAGAACATGAGAACGTTTCATTACCACAACGCCATGCAGGAAATTTGAATCAGAGTCAGGCGGGCAGTCTCCTCACTCAGGCTGCTCTCCGTTGTCATGGTTGCTGTACCAGTGTACCTCACTGAGATGGTTTTCCAAAAAAATCCAAAGTGTGTTTCTGTGCAATAATTCCTCCTCCTTTGTCATTAGACTATGTATATTTACTAGTCTGCTGCCGCGCCCGGTACGCCATGTTCTGGCTTGCTTGACATTGCCATGAAAACATAATTGCATTGAACTTGTGTTGATTAGGCCTCAAAATATGGTAAACTGTAAATGACCTGTACTTATATAGCGCTTCTTCAAACCAGGAGACTTGACCAAAGCGCTTTACACTACATTCAGTGATTCACCCATTCACACACTGATGGTGGCAAGCTACATTGTAGCCACGGCTGCTCTAAGGCTCACTGACAGAAGCGGGGCTGCCGTACACTGGCGTCACCGGGCCCGCTGACCACCATCAGTAGACAATGCAGGTGAAGTTTCTTGCCCAAGGACACAACGACAATGAAAGTCGGAGCCATGGCTTGAACCGTCAACCCTTCAAATTTCAGGGTAAACTCCTACATCCGACGCCACATAAAAATTCAAATACATGTAATAGTAAAATATAAAAGTCATTATCATTTCCCAAATTATTCCAAATAAATGTATGAGTTGTGCAAAGTATTTTTAATTAATTTTAAAGAAATCTCCCTCTCACCCCCACTTCACACGGCCTTGTCTAGACATGATACATTTCTGAATAAACTGGGTTCTCTGTGAAGTTGTTTGCTCCCTGCTTGCTATATCTTCATCCAAACTGTTTTACGGCAACAGCAGTCAGATCATCCTGAAGCCTCACAATAAATGGCTCCTGTTGTTCATTTAAACCATGACTCGTATTTCTCTATTTTTCCAGAGTCCTCCAGTAGTTTGTGCTTTGGCTGAATGAGATGTTAGACATTTCTGCGTGTGATTTGGAAACTAAAGGCTGTCAGTGTTGACTGCAGTGTTGGCCCAGAGGTAAGGCCCGCTTCAGCTCCAAAGGAGTTAAAATTCTACGAAAAAGATCTACGTAAGCAGGTCAGTGTTTATTTTTCACTCTGTTAGAGAAATGTTTGATGAAGCTGACCCTCAGGTCTTTACTGACCAGGCCGTAGATGATGGGGTTAATGATGGGGGGAATGATGTAGATGAGGATGCTGAAGAACTTCCGCATGTTTCCAGACAGGGAGGGGAACCTGTGACTTAAAATGATTATCAAAGAAGAGATTTGAAAGATAATGTACACAACAATGTGTGGCAGACAGGTCTGAAAGGCCTTGCTACGGAGGCATCCATCTCTTCTTCCTTGTTTTAGGGATGCGCTCAGGATCCTGATGTAGGAGAAAGAGACGATAACAAAGGTCATCGTACTTAAAGACCAGGATATCGCTAGACCTAGAAAAATAGGAGACAACAAGCAGTTAAAAAAATGAAGTTGCTCTGCACAAATAAGCAGAAAGAAAATAAACAAGTGCTTCTATCTACTTGTTAGACAGTTTCAGAAAAAAAAAAAACCCTGCAAAAATTCCCTCGATTTTAATTTTTGAGATTTGTGTTTATTTCCTTGTATAACAAAGGGATGGACGGACCGTAGATGTTACTGATGGGGGTGGGAATACAGGCCAGGCTTAAGATGCCTCGGTTGGTGCAGAAGACATGTTGGATGAGCCGGCCGCACAGCGGGACGTTAATGTGGAAGGAGAAGAGCACGGCGATGAGCAGCAGGGCGACGATCCAGGCCAGAGCGCAGCAGCTGTGCAGCCGGGCTGAAGTCATGATGGAGTGGTACCGGAGAGGTTCACACACCGCCACAAACCTACAGACAGAGAAACAACACTCCTTAGATTTGCATTTAAAGACATTCTCTCCTTCAAAGCTAAACTATTTTCTGATATTTTTCACTTTAATGTAAAAATTTCCTCAAAGTTGGTTAAATTCACTATAACTGAACTGACCTTAAAATTTTGTGTTTGGAAGTAAAAGCATATTTTACAATATATGATTAGATTCCCAGAGGTAGAAATAATATTATTGATGCTGAACTCTTTTAACCAAAACACTGAAAGTAAACTAGATAGATTTATTGTGTTTTAAAGTTTGCAATAAGGTTATGCTCATAATAAACATCCTCATATCAATACATGTTTAGACTTTGTCAGTTCTTAACACAGTGTGCTGGCCATAACCTAAAAATGAACCATAATGCACTGAGAAGATTGTCTCTAAAGAAATACATATTCAGACTGATTTCCATACACAAGCATTTTCTGACTGTTAGAACTAAACACATAAATCACAGTGACAATTCAACCTTGATCTTCTTACAAAACGGGTACATTTCTGGACTGTAATTACTAAAAATCAAAAGCATGTCTGCATAAACTCTTCTGTTTTCACACCTTCCTTACCTGTCATAGGCCATCACACTTAAAATAGTCAGCATTGCTGCACCGTATGTGTGAGCACAGAAGGCCTGAGCGACTGCTGGGATGTAGGCAATCTTCTTCAGCCCCGTCAGCAAATCCATCATGAGACGAGGAAGCACCATTGTGGCCCCCAGCAGATCACAGACCACCAGGTGACAGATCATGACAAAC